TTACACTGCTAAATTAGCCCTCGTGTAGCTTTGCGCGAAATTCAAAACAAACCAAACTTCAAACGGTTTGATTTCGGTATTACGGAAATTATTTTATACACAATATAAATACTTCTCGACCACCAAACAAAGTTAATGTTTTGCAAGAAGTTCGATTTTAGTTAATTTTGAAGGTTGAATTATTCTGAATATGCATTTGTTCTACAGAGATAATACAATCAATCGTTTAAAAATATTTGGCTTTAGGGCATTTTTGATACATACGTTTAATAATTTCAGAAACTGCCATTATTCTATGAAATATATACTAATTTTTTTTGTGGTGGCGGGAAGGAAACTCTTAATTTCTCTCCAAAATAATCTGATTTGTAAATGAATTAAATAAAACTGGAAATAATTACAACTTACTTACGTAATCTAGTTCACACCATAACAGTCGTTGTTCATGAAAGTTAATGATATAAAAAGTACCTAAACAATTACTGTGTTTGTTGTATCCAAACCGACCTGATGAGCTCTGGTATTAGGCGAAAGGTCTCGTCGGCACTGGATATGGCAGATGTAATGTGGTTAAGGTAATATTATTATTCTTTACTTTCAGTCGTACGTTTTTACAATTACATTCGTTAATGTGATTGTCTTGTTAAAACTATTAACTTGCCAAATGGTAGACTTGCTTATCTGTTGAATTGCGCAAAACTACTCGAGGGCTATTTGCGTTAGCCATCCATAATTTAAAAGTGACGGACTAGAGGGAAAGCAGCTAGTTAACACCACTCACTGCCAACTCTTGGGCTACTCTTTACCAACAAAAAAAGCAGGATTGACTGTCACGTTATAACGCTTCCACGGCTGAAAGGATGAGCATGCTCGATGACAGGATTCGGACCCACGACCCACAGATTGCGAGTCGAGCGCCCTAACCACCAGGTAATGTCGAGCCTTATGGGTTAGTAGGTCAGTGGTTATGGTTTCTTATAGTTTATGGTGTACGTTTGTTTCTGTATGAAATGCTATCATTGTCCATTGGTGCTTTACTGAACTAGAAACATTGAATTTTATTATTTATGATTTAAGCTAAGCAACCTACTTTGCAAAGACCAAAAACAAACACGTATATTAAGTCGGCTGAAAAAGTTCTCCCGAGTACAATATCCATTTTGGAAAAAACAGTTACACTTCGCTGGATAATTCCTGCTATCTGTTAAACCTAATAGCGCTTTGTGGTAA